GCTGTCACCTCACACATCTGTGAGGACTCACCTGGACCAGCTCTCACCTCACACACCTGTGCGGGCTCACCTGGACCAGCTCTCACCTCACACACCTGTGAGGGCTCACCTGGACCAGCTCTCACCTCACACACCTGTGCGGGCTCACCTGGACCAGCTCTCACCTCACACACCTGTGAGGGCTCACCTGGACCAGCTCTCACCTCACACACCTGTGAGGGCTCACCTGGACCAGCTGTCACCTCACACACCTGTGAGGGCTCACCTGGACCAGCTGTCACCTCACACACCTGTGAGGGCTCACCTGGACCAGCTCTCACCTCACACACCTGTGCGGGCTCACCTGGACCAGCTCTCACCTCACACACACCTGTGAGGGCTCACCTGGACCAGCTCTCACCTCACACACCTGTGAGGGCTCACCTGGACCAGCTGTCACCTCACACACCTGTGCGGGCTCACCTGGACCAGCTCTCACCTCACACACACCTGTGAGGGCTCACCTGGACCAGCTCTCACCTCACACACCTGTGAGTGCTCACCTGGACCAGCTGTCACCTCACACACCTGTGCGTGCTCACCTGGACCAGCTCTCACCTCACACACCTGTGAGGGCTCACCTGGACCAGCTCTCACCTCACACACCTGTGCGTGCTCACCTGAACCACCTGTTATCTCACACACCTGTGCGTGCTCCCCTGGACCAGCTCTCACCTCACACACCTGTGAGGGCTCACCTGGACCAGCTCTCACCTCACACACCTGTGCGTGCTCCCCTGGACCAGCTGTCACCTCACACACCTGTGAGGGCTCACCTGGACCAGCTGTCACCTCACACACCTGTGAGGGCTCACCTGGACCAGCTGTCACCTCACACACACCTGTGAGGGCTCACCTGGACCAGCTCTCACCTCACACACACCTGTGCGGGCTCACCTGGACCAGCTCTCACCTCACACACACCTGTGAGGGCTCACCTGGACTGGCTGTCACCTCACACACCTGTGCGTGCTCACCTGGACCAGCTGTCACCTCACACACCTGTGAGGGCTCACCTGGACCAGCTGTCACCTCAGGCACCCCATGCAGGCTCATCTGGTGTCTGGGAAGACAAGGACCAAACCACGCACAGGCGCCACGCACAGGTGTGTGCATGTGCAGGGAGGAGAGAGGAGCAGCCCCAGGCTCTCACGCCCAGGATCTCGCCTCCTGCCTTCCCAGGCTCAGGCTGCGGGAGGCCAGGCACTGACAGTGGAGGGCAGTGGGTGAGGACGAAGCCCTCCAGCTCAGCTCTGTGGCTGCACAGAGGGAGTGTCTTAGCAGGGTTTGAAGAACCCGAGGCCAAGCAGGGCGACCACAGGAACCACTCCAGGCCTCTCCTCCAGTGCCGATGCCAAGTCAAGACATCCAGGAAGAAACGGCAACATCCAGCCTCGTGACAGTCCAGGTGGAAGAGGCACCTGGGAAACTCTCCACTCCCCGCAGGGATGCGGTGTCAGCGCCGGCCTGCAGACAGGCCACCAGCAGCGCCTCTCCCCTGCGTCTTCCCTAAGGCTGGCTCCTTTCTCTTCCGCTCTGGCTGGGTCAGCACCCACTTGCCTGCATGTCTCCCTTGGCTCAGCCACTTGCTCCAGGTCTGTTCCATGGCCCCTGGCCACTCAGCCCCTACAGAAGCGGTCCCACTGACCCTTGAAGTCCTGCAGCTTTGGCGTGGGGAAGGCTCAAGTCTTCTTGCGGAGATTCCAGAGTGGAGAGGGGGCAGGGGAGCCCCAGACTGCCCTACCTTCTTTGCCTTCCGTTCCTGAGCCCTGGAGAGGCAGGGAGAATGCGTCCCTCTTGGGAAAGGGCCACCTTTGACTACTGTGGCCTTAGTCTTGTCCATGGCCAGGACCTGAACCCACACGTACTTTCTTTAAAAGCCCACACTTAAAACAAAGAAAAATTCATTTCAAAATGGCAGGCCAGGGTGGCAATTTGGTAAATCTTTTAAATACTTTTCACCACATACAAAAAATAAATAAGAACTTGAACAATCATAGGAAAACCACTTGGAAAATGCAATTGTGTATTGAAACAATTGAAATCATACATGAATCAGATCAACAAATTTTAAAAAATTTTGTGTGAATGATAGATACCAAAATTGTAGGTATAAAGACAGTGGATAAGAATAGGTTTCACATAGAAAGAAATAAAAACGAGAACTTGAACTTCACATGCAATATACAAAAATTAAAGTTGATATTCTTTACAATTGTGAGACTTGCTAAACACACTTTAGATATTAAGAAATGATAGTGATGTGCAAGAAGCTGTCAGGAAATTCGAGAATTTGTGGAATGAGTCACAAAACCCACTTCCCTGGGACTTCATCTTCGGACATCACCCAGAATAAGACCAAGGGTTTGCTGTCATCTTGGGCTGAGGCACAGCTGAGACCCCCGTCTCCTGCGTCAGGCACACCTGACCTGAGCACTGCTTCTGCTATTTTCTGGAGAAAGTGGCTCAGCACAACTAAGCTTGGACGACTTCTTTATAAAACAGAAGACACTGGTGTCTGATAGAAAATACTCAGTGCGCAATACACAGAGCGGCGCTGGCAGAGGATGAATGATGCACAGTGGGCGAAGGCAGGAAGCATCCAGCGTCCACGAGGAGGAGGAGGATTGGGGAAATTCTTGTATACTAAGCATGCGGGATGTTTGAAACATCAAGAACATGACAACTATAAGGAAATCCCAAGGTAAAAATGTCGATCTACTGTGACTGTAGCTGAATAAAATGCACACGAGCAGAGGCGAGGCTGTGGTAAAGGAGAATGTGGGAGGTGACTGCAAGGAGTGAAGACTTTTTCTTTAAAGCATTTATAATATCTGAAAGCCAAGGTAAAAAAGGATGCCTAAGAAGAAACCCGAGTTACGGCCGGAAATTCACCAGCAAACACCGTGGCCAAAGGTGACACCAACGGTGACTCCTCCAGCGAGCACTCATGCAAGCGTATTGTGCCAGATCTTTCCAATGAAGATTGCACCCTCACGTGATGCTAGGGAATAAACACCAAACAGCCACTTACATCCGAGGGCTCAGTGCATCACTGGGCGGGAACAGAAGTCAGCTCCGCCTCTCAAAGTGGCTGCGCTGGGGAGCGGGAGAGCAAGTCTGGAGGGGCTGGGGGAGGGTGGTCCCCGGGAAAGTGTGGGAAGGGGCGAGTGCTGCACGCTGGGAGGGAAGCAGGACTGGCTGGCCTGGGTCTTGCACAGAACTTGAAGGAATTTGACTTTCATGCTTCAAAGAAAGGTGAAAAGAGGTTTTTTTTTTTTCTTGACGACAACCAAGAGAAAATGACAGGGGCCTGGCCTAACCGCGCTACATCAGCATGAGAGGAAAGTCCTACTCATAAATATTTTTGAGATGAGAATTGACAGGATGGGCTGGAAAGAGAGAAGCCAAAGAAATAGGAGAGTCAGAGATAACTTGAACCGGTTCCACCAGAAACCTGGATGTGGGACTCCAGAGAACTGGCCGAGTTGGACCCAAAAGATCTGTTTTTGGCTTGCTCAATTTGAGATACCTTCAGAGTATCTGAACAAGGACACTCGTAAGCTACGGAATAAAAGGATCTGGACTCCAGATAGAGGAAGGCCAACTAGAACAACGGACCCGAAGGCACCCTCACGTTGACGGAGGGGGTGATGAGGGGGAGAACATGACCACCTTCCAGTTCGGCACACTTTTGAGTGCTTCACACATACCACCTCATTTAAATATCACAGCCACCTGCCCCCCGCCCCATGAATTTTGTGATAGGAAAGTGAGGCTCCAAAAATCATTAAGAATTAGGATTTTATTGCAAGTATCGAAGCTGGCTTAATGGTAGAAATTTATGATAAGGACACAAGGGACCCTCCCGGCACCCGAAGGCAGAGAGGACAGAGGTACAGTCTCATACTGATTTTGCAAAGCTTGCTTTTGCAAAGGCCGAGGAGCAAGGAGCGCATGGGAGGAGGGCAAGAGCAGCAAGCGGGAGGCCAGCTGGGATCCTGCCCCGTTTGGCCACCTGTCCTGCAAACCAAGCTGGAAGCTCAGGTTCACGGAAGCCACCTGGCTTCGTCCTGAAACCAAGGATCAGACGTGATCCTGGAGAATGGATACCCCTCACCTGGTCTGACAGTTGTCGGGTACCACGGCTACTGGTAGGGGAAGGTAAAACTCTGCAGAAATTCAAAACACATAGAAGGCATTTTAATTGTGTCCCTTCATAGAATGCTCATGAGTTTAAAAATTCTCTGTTTGCCATTTTAATCAGTGAATTTTCTTAGACGTGCTTTTCATCTCAAATCTTAAGAAAAGCAGTAGGAAGAATTAGCTAAGAATCTTTCACCCGCGGTTCTACATCGGCTGTTTCCTGTGAGTTTTACAACCTCAGACAGGCAACCCCAGACCTTACCGTGCACATCAGTCCCTTGGAGAGGCTGTCGATTGGCACGGACTGGGCGGGACCCGAGCCTCTGCCAGGTCTGGGCCAGTGGTGCGGCTCCTTACTCGCTTGTGGTTGACCTCTAAGGGGCGCTCATGCCGGGAGCTTTCATGGATGCCAAACAAAGCGAAGTGTTATGTCAACGACTGATAGCAGCTAATGTTTGCTTTAGATAATGAGAATTGCTCTACTTTTCTGTGCATAGATGTAGCGTGTACCTCTCATTTTGTTTTCCTAGCAAATCACACAATCCCATCAAGGGAAAGCACGCCAACAGATCTCTCTCCAAGTGAGGTGATCTCCCTTCACCTGATCCCGCAGGCTCAGGGCTGGTCGTGTGATAGCTTGTCTTTTATTCTCTTGCTGCTAGCAGTGGACACGAATTGGTTCGCGTTCCTTCCTTCTACCCGGGTTGACTTGCTCCTGCACCCTGTGATTTCAAGTTTACTCATTGCCAGGTTCAGGAAGGAGGTGGGAGACTTTCTGGAGCCATCCCCAGCCAGGCTGGACTGACGCGGGGAAGCCTGCGGGGAAGGAGCTAAGTGAATCCTGAGAACGATTTTGACAGCAAATTCAGGATTAAGATGCATTAAGAGCTGCTCCACCGAAGGTTCTACAAATAAGTCTACAAGCTAATCTGTGGGGCATTGCTCGGGGAACATCGTTGGTGAGCGAGGACGTTTAGTTTAGGTTCTCTCTGCACTTCCCTCGATGGTAGCTAATGTTAAACCTCTTTGAGTGCACTTTTAATGACTGAAATAGTAAAAAGACAACATGAAGAGTACCTTGAATGTTAAAAACATGAATGAGGGTACTTCAAAAAGTTCACAGAAAAAGGAAATAAAAAATAAGGAGTTTTTTTGGTATAAAAGCATTTGACTATTCTATTCCTCTGTAGTTTTTCTTTTTTTTTTTTTTAAGATTTATGTATTTTATTTGAAAGGCAGAGTTATACAGAAAGAGGGAGAGAGACAGAGAGAGGTCTTGTGTCTGCTGATTCACTCCCCAAATGGCCACATCAGCCAGGCTGAAAGCAGGAGCCAGGAGCTTCATCTGGGTCTAACATGTTGGTGACAGGAGCTCAAGCACTTGGGCCATCCTCCGCTGCTTTACCAGAAGTAGAGCATGTGGCGCCAGCATGCCCGGTTCTAGTCCCGGTCGGGGCGCCGGATTCTGTCCCGGTTTCTCCTTTTCCAGGCCAGCTCTCTGCTGTGGCCAGGAAGGGCAGTGGAGGATGGCCCAAGTGCTTGGGCCCTGCACCCCATGGGAGACCAGGAGAAACACCTGGCTCCTGGCTTCGGATCAGCGCGGTGCGCCAGCCGCAGCGCGCCGGCTGCGGCAGCCATTGGAGGGTGAACCAACGGCAAAAGAAGACCTTTCTCTCTGTCTATCTCTCTCACTATCCACTCTGCCTGTCAAAAAAAAAAAAAAAAAAAAAAAAGTGGAGCAGCCGGGACTCAGACTGGCACCCACGTGAGACGCTGGTGGCTGCAGGTAGCAGTTTAATCCTGTGTGCCACAGCATCACCCCTACTTTTTCTTTTCAATACGCATTTCATGAAACTTTTTTAAAAAAGATTTATTTATTTATCTGAAAGTCAGAGTTACACAGAAAGGAGAGGCAGAGAGAGAGAGAGGTCTTCCATCTGCTGGTTCACTCCCCAATTGGCCGCAACAACTGGAGCTGCACTGATCCAAAGCCAGGAGCCAGGAGCTTCTCCCGGGTCTCCCACACGGATGCAGGGGCCCAAGGGCTTGGGCCATCTTCTGCCTTCCCAGGCCACAACAGAGAGCTGGATCGGAAGAGGAGCAGCCAGGACTTGAATCAGTGCCCATATGGGATGCCGGCACTTCAGGCCAGGGTGTTAACCCATTGAGCCAGCGCGCCAGCCTCTCATGAAACTTTTTAAAGACCTCTCATACTCATGGATTTCAAAATTGTTATACACCAAAGTAAACTTGTCTTTTAATTTGATTTTCCATGAAACTTCTGGTGTATCTTTATATATGACATAGCTTTAAAAGTCAACCAGAGTTGATTGAAATATACAAATACTCCAGTAATTCCCTCTCCACTCACTACATCATGAAAGTGCCCTTGTCTTTCAAAAGCAAGAAAAGTTGTTGTAGAGGGGCCCATTGTACGAGCACCCCACCGTGTACACAGCACACCGGCCACTTCACACACATTGAGATGGTTTCCAGCCTTACTGTTCATAGATGGCTCAGATGAACACACAGTCCCTGCGTCTTGGAATTTGTCTCTGCTGATTTCCTTGGTATAGATTCTAATGAGCTGAGTTATTGCATTAAGGAGCATGAGCCTTTTAAAGGGTCTGGAGAAATCTTGTTACGTTGAATTTCAGAGATTGTGTCAATTTGCCATCGCTAACAAGAGAAGAGGAAGCCACTGCTGCCATTCTCCTGACCTTGCACACTGCGGTTTTTTGAACATTTGACAAGCGGGCAGGCCATTGGTGCCCTGACCTCTGGGTTTTTATGTCATTGCATCTCTTTTTGTTTATTTTTCTCCCTATGCCTCCTTTGCTGAGTGGCCAGTTCATGCCTGTGTCTCCATCTAAATTCGTTTCCTCTCTCTTTACTTACAGGTTTAGTATGACCTGAAATTCTTGGCACCAGGAGGGTTTTCGATTTCTCAGAATTTGGAATATTTGCATAAACCAGTGCATAAGGAGGTATCATGGACGAAAGACTCAAGTCTAAATACAGAACTCATTGATGTTTCACACATGCCTCATGCACACAGCCTGAAGATGAATTTATACACTATTTCCCGTGCGCCTGCCTCTTGTCT